AACTGCCCTCCCCTGCTGGCCATCTTGTGGTAGCCATCTTGTGTCCACATGGGGGTGGCCATCTTTTGTGTTGGAGTGATGGTCAATTTGTATATTACTCTTTTATTAGATAGGATATTTTTAACTAGTTGAAACTGTTGTCAAAATTTATCCCTTAGTTTTTCAAGGGTTTACTTATATTATGCCAGGGAATGTTGTTATAAGCTTTGCAGTATTTATTACAATATTATTACCATGTTTCAAATGAAAGCAGACTTGACACAGGTAGCACTTCGATATTTCCCAAGGTACAGCATGACTCCTTCTTTTGTTTAAAACTTTCATTATTAACTTAATATGATTAAGTTAACATTCTAAGATTATAGTCTCAAAGATACTAAATATCTCAAAATTATAAAGATAAGCTTTTCTTCAAGCTTGTTTATTTGGTGGGTTTTCTAAGTTAGGAGGAAGAGGGAGAATTTGGCATTCTATTATGGTTCTTAAAATTCAAGTGGGAAACTGTTTGAAACTTTTCATTGTTTTGTGGTACATGCTTGTCCTGTGTCTGTGGTATCTTCAACGGAGTCACATTTGGGATATAAAAAAAGTGTCTGCAACCCTTCTTTGGTAAACACTATGATTAAAATTGTGAAGGAGAATGGAAGTTCCATAGTATCTTCTCCAGGTTAATGGGAGAATGGCATAAATCAAGTTGAAATAAAGAAATGAAGATGAAGCTTCTAAAATATTGACTGAGATTCTTCACTTCTGTTAAAATTGGTTCATTTTTAACTATAGAGCATTTTATCTAAAGAATTACCATTTGCATGATTTGATTTTATTCAAAATTTTCTTTGTACATATTGTAAGTCATCTTTGAAATGACTTCTATGATGCACATAGATTGCAAATGCAGTAAACAGTATTTAACATAGCTTATTATTCCATAGTTCTGATTTTCCTCACATAAATAATAAGCTCTTTAACAGATTCATCACAGTATAAAAGGTCATAAAAATGCACAATAGAATTATTTCTATTTTGCTTTGAAGAAGTGCCAATATTTTACCATTAACCTATCTGAGCCTCAATCTTTACATCAGAGCATCTGTAAAGATTAAATGTCAGAAATATGTGACATTTAGCTTGGAGGCTGCCTATAGTAAGAAAAGAATAAATAAAATAATTCATCATAATTAAACCAATATTCATACATTTATAAATTTAATGCTAAAGTTAAGATTGGTAAATGCTAATAAAAGCAACATTGTGGAGATTTTTCTAAAATATACAAGTTCATATTTATAGCTATTACTGTCCTCATGGGACTTACACATGCTGAAGATATTAAAGCAACTCAGGGTAGACTTTTTGCTCAATCCATGGAATTTACCCCTTTATTCAATAGTGCATTCTCTGACCTGCTCTTAGACCTTGGATATAAATAAAATAATTTATATAAAATGGAAAATGAAATAAACATATGTATAACAAAATGGGAAAATTTCTAATGAAAATAAAAACAAATGGAAAACTATCTCTGTGCTCGATTCCTTTAGGAATCCACATTCATCCAAACCAGTGGAGCTACTTTCACTTCTGTCTCTACTCAGTTTAATCCTTGCCTGTGAACTTGCCAGTGAGAGCTACTTACAGATAGTGGTTTTGGGGAACACTGATTATCAGGGACCAAATCAAGCTCACTAAGTCAATTTGTAAAGGCCAGTGAGGAGCAGGAAAATGAAAATTACTTTCAGATATTACTAATCTGCACCAGGTTTGGGTTAGGAGTCTAGCAGTAAAAAAGGTTCTGTATCTTATTACTCATCACTTGAGTTGCTTGTTTCCCTTGTTCTTTAATTAACTCCTGTTATTTTAAAAAGTGCTTTGGTAATGTTTTCACTTAAGTATAGGAAATGCTGGTCTTCGTTCCAACCTATAACTTTTTTTTATTGTTGTTCTTTTTCTCCTCAGGGATGCAGATCTGTTTTTGTTAGACACAAGAAAGGCCCAGGCTTTAGATGTGGGTTGGCTTGTCTTTGATATCACTGTGACCAGCAATCATTGGGTGATTAATCCACAGAACAATTTGGGCTTACAACTCTGTGCAGAAACAGGAGATGGTAAGCACTGAATTTCATGTATTTTTTTGTGGTGCTGGTTTTGACACATTATAGCTTTTTGTTCAATTTAACCAATATGTTCTTTATACTTACGATGTGCAAGGTAGTGTATTCCATAGGATAGTGCAGTATAGTAATTAGTTAATCCATTTATGAACACATTTACTCAAATGCATTTATTGTCAAGGGTGGAGAGGTAAAGAAGTAGGTACTGTTCCTGCTCTCAAGGAGTTTTTAATCTTGTATTGAAAATGTGTATGCAAGCAGAAATAATGTAATATAATAAGACCAAAAGAAACTGTATACAAGGTGCTATGAATCTATATCTTGATATGGTGGTGGTTACAAAACTATATAATTTGTAAACATGAATAGAACTATACATTAAGTCAGAACGAGTAATACCATGTGTAAATTGTATTTCAAAACCTGACTAAAAATAACAAAGAATATATATTTTAAAAGGTGCCAAGTAAGCAAACAAAAGAACTACTAATAATTACTAATAGTTCTAATAATTACTACTAATAGGGGAAGAGAGGCTGGGGATGGAACAAAAGAGTCACACACACACAAAAAGAAAATAATATTGAGTTAGGTCTTAACATCCTATATAATAAAGAGATAATTTGAAAATTGACCCTCATGCCCTTGCATCATCACAAGATGGCCACCCCCATGTCATCACAAGATGGCCACCCCCATGTCATCACAAAATGGCTGCCCCCACATTGTCACAAGATGGCCTGCAGGGGAGGGCAGTTGTGGGGGACCAGGCCTGCAGGGGAGGGCAGTTGGGGG